TTATTATTATTATTATTATTATTATTATTATTATTATTATTATTATTATTATTATTATTATTGCAGATGAGCCTTAAATGCATGTTTAGCGTCTTGTTTTAGTTTCGACACATCCTCTTGCCCTAAGCTGTGGCAAAAATATTGACTTAAAAGGTTTACATAAATTATCCACTATTTAAACGACTCCTTTCCTTTTCCTTTTGTTTTTGTTTGTTTTCTCTTGAAACACACATAGCCCCATCCCTTCAAAAATGATGGATTTGTGAGTCATTTTATTATTAATATTATTTTTTTTTTCTTTTATACTATAAAAGTAACGGGCGAAAGCTTCACTTGGATCAATTTGTTAGAACGGGGCTTTTTAAGTATTGTGAGAATAAAGCTACTTGGAGGTTCTTTGTATGTAAATAGGGTGTAAAAAAAGGCCCTCCCCGTCTTTGTAATTAATTGACACGTTATACCACTCATCATGCTCTGAAGCACCAATGGTAGAGGCTCGGATCTCCCCAAAACCCACAATTTCACATCTGCAAACACTGTCTTCATCCACTTGACTCCTAAGACCCGCCCACACGTGGCCAACCTTTCGCGTTTTTTAATGCTTTTTCACTGCAGGTTCATGTGTTGAGACCAACCTTATATGGACTGATCAGGACAAGGTAATGGCTTATTTCCCTCTAGCACCCAGCAGTAGCACAGTATCCATGAGCCGCATATAGCACTTCAGCCACTTTGGCATCCTTCCTGGACTTACAGAGACCGAATCCACTGCTTCTTGCTTTGCTCATAGGCGATGGTTATCCACAGAGGCTGCTTTGACTGTACTTCAGCGTAGAGCGATACTTACTCATCCAATTTTTTTCTCTGCTTTTTTTTTTTCTCCTCTCCTTGTTAGTTTTGTTTTTCTATTCTCACAACAGCGGATTGTTACTGGGGGGAAAAGAAAAAAAAACAAGCTGCTTCAAGCAACTTTTCCCTGCATATTTCCCCCCCTACCAGAATATGTCGTTGACCAACACAAAGACGGGCTTTTCTGTAAAGGACATTTTGGACCTTCCTGACACGAATGACGAGGACGGATCTATCACCGGAGCGGAAGAAGACACGGAGGGATCGGAGACCGCATCCACGACGAAAAACGGTGGAGTTTTGGTGCAAAGTCCTCTAGAAAACGTTCAAAATCTACCTTTAAAGAACCCCTTTTATGACAGTACTGACAATCCCTACACGCGATGGCTTGCTACTACGGACAGTATCCAATATTCATGTAAGTAGAGTCATATATCCCCTCATTATTTTGTTATTTTTGATCCAATGCGGGTAAATTAAGTGATAATTGATTGCATGCATGGTCATATTGCGCCCTAAGGATGCCCTTGGGTGGCGTGCGCTGTTCATCCTTATGCATCGTGCGCTGCACGTCTTAGAAAATGCATGCAATGTTAAGGCTTAAGGCACTCTGCTTTTGCAAGAACTGTTCGAATAACAATAAGCAGGAAAAAGCAAAGGGGCTTGAATTGAATTTCTGTCTCTGCTTTATTTCCAGCATCAGTTTTTCTGTTGGCGTAAAACCAGAGTGTTAAATTGTGAAGTAACGTTTAAGAAGACAATGCACCTTTCACGCTTCACTGACTTTCTCTGTTTTCTTTGAAAGTCTGGACTATTTTGCCATTTTGGAACAATGCTCTACACTGATATTAGTTTCTTGAGATGCATTTTGTCAAAAAATGTCGCCCAGTTCCTATCTTTATGGAGATCCAAGAGTTCAAAATCATAACATGCATGATAGACATTTGCTCCCCGGTAGTTCTTATTGAAAACGCACCCTGAATGTTTACTAATCACTTAATGTCCTGTGTGTTTGTAAGAAATCTCTCTGAAAACTTCCCGACATAACATTTTGACAGTGTTTCTCCCGTTTCTTGTCGCAGTGCACGGTTTGTCCGCCAGCTCTCAGGACTCGGCCAAGTCTCCGGAGCCGTCTGCGGACGACGAATCCCCCGACAACGACAAGGAGACCTCCAGCAGCGGCGGCAGCGACTCGGGCAAGAAGCGGAAAAGGAGGGTGCTGTTCTCCAAGGCGCAAACCTATGAGTTGGAGCGCCGCTTCAGGCAACAGAGGTACCTGTCCGCCCCAGAGAGGGAGCACTTGGCCAGCCTCATCCGTCTCACCCCGACCCAGGTGAAGATCTGGTTCCAGAACCACCGGTATAAGATGAAGAGAGCCCGGGCCGAGAAAGGTATGGAAGTGACCCACCTCCCTTCTCCTCGGCGGGTGGCCGTGCCCGTCTTAGTCAGGGATGGGAAGCCTTGTCACACTCTTAAAGCTCAGGACTTGGCGGCCACTTTTCAGGCCGGGATTCCCTTCTCGGCGTATAGCGCTCAGTCGCTCCAACACATGCAGTATAACGCGCAGTACGGCGCCGCGGCCACACCGCAGTTCCCCACAGCACATCACTTGGTGCAAACGCAACAGTGGACTTGGTGAGAAAAATTATAGAGACTTGGTTTGGAGGGTGGGCTGTAGGGTGTTTCACCGCAAAGAAAGGAAGGAAGAAAGAAAAAAAAGAAAAATAAAAAAAACAAAAAAGACTTTTCATTTTTGCAGCTTGACTCATATATATACTACTACCATTTTTATCCGGGGCTCATGTGTGCGCCGTGTTTACATGTTTTCGTTAAGAGAACTGGGTCCAAACCTCTCCCTTATAGATTTTATTAAGAAATGTCAATGCTCTTCTTGTGACATTTTTTTTGTAAAGTATGTTGTGTGTTGGTTGTAGAGATGTTTTACTTTTTATTTTAATGTTTTTCCTCCCCCCCTTTTGTCCCTTCGTGTTATTATCAGCACGTGCGAACCACTTTATAATTATAGAAAATTTTTAATTTCTTGCTTCTTTTATGGACCGAAAAAAAAAATATTTATGGCCATGAATAAAAACTGGCAAGTTTTCAGCCTTTTTTTGTTTTTTCTTCCTTGTAAATATTTGCAGTCAGGTGGTGCATTTGGATGCAGCTCGGGATTTAAATTTCCAAATTTATTTTTTTGCGAACATGCTGTGAGATGTGTAAAAATAATCCGTGCTGACGCCGCAGTTAAAATGGACAAATATCTTCATTTTTAAAGTAATAACTTTTAAATAAAATATGACTGAAATGAGGCTTTGTTTTGATAAGTGTCCCGTCGATTTCATTTTTTAGAAGGGCGGAGAGAGACAAATACTAGCTTGTGGCGCAGAATGGGAATAAATCTCCAGCGCACTTCAACTCTTTCCTCCCCATTTAGTCAAATTTAATCCGAGGAATATTTTTTTCTCTGTCCGAACACCTCACCCATAAAGAGCCTAAAGTCACTTGTGAAATGGGACTAAAATCCACTCACTTAATATAAGTGGGCTTCTCCACACAAGAAGCTTTTGAGTCAAAAGCACTCCTTTTTGTCAGCACCCCCGGCCTTGGCTGTAGAGTGGCATACAGCGGAGGGAAAGCAATTATTTAATGCAATAAATGTTTTGTTATCTTATTAAGCGCTAAATTGCAAATAGAGCTGGGGCAATCAGTGTGTTTAACAACTGAAATTTGGGGTTTAATCGTGTGATAAAGTTATTATTATTATTATTTTTTTCCCCACACGATCGTTTTCACGCTTTAGATTTCACACTTGACATTAGAACCTATTCTAGACTTGCAGACGGTGTTTTTCTTGCGTGTGGGAATCGCAAATGGGTAACCCGCGAAGCACACTGTGGATTATCAGACTCCGCTCAATATCTTGGGTAAATATGATAACACCCAGTAGAAAAATCTATGCATTTTGTTGTTTGTCCCGGGACAAAATTCTAACCAGCAGATGTTAGGCTCGCCCCTATCATCACCGAACAAACAGCTAAATTAGGCCAGATTTGCTAATTATTTACAGAATCCAGTCTCAGGGGGGGCTACTGCTTTTGTGAAAGAAGGGGTGTGCGGGACAAACTCAAAAGGCTTTTCTGTTTCAACACTGGTTGAGCTTGTAGGTCAAACAAATAAGCAACTTTATGAGATGCTTTATTATTACTAAGCAAAAAAATAAATAATAGACGTGATGATAACTAATTAAACAAACAAGTTATTGCAAAAATGTGCATTTTACGGTGCGCATTTATTAGAAGTGCCATTTTTTTAGGGAGAAGGGGAAAAAAATGACTGATTAAAGATGCACGTACAAAATGAATGTAATCTAAATAGTTTTATTTTATTTTAGATTTTTTTTATATATATAATCTAAAAACTTATAAGTAAAACAAGACTCCTGTCTTTCCCTCATTGGATTCTGTCCGCCTGACTCCATCGCTACACAATACAGTAAACAA